CTTTAGGGTGGGGGGGGGGAGGGGGTCGTCTTAAATCAACACTCATCTCCTGCTGCACACTGACATTGTGCATCATCCTTTGTACACTTGTGTTTCAAAGCAACAAATGCAGCTATAAATGAATATTGAAGGAGAAAATGCTCTATATAGAATATATGAAAGCCTAGTTTGAGCCTTATTGCACTAAATGCAGTGCATGAAAGCACACAAGGGCACGCATTTCTACGCAGCCATTAGAGGTCACACATTGCCTTACAAAAACGGCTTTAAGGAAAAATTCAACGTTTGTCTTAAAAAAATATCTATCTGTCTGTCTGTCTATCTATCTATGATTTTATTTGGCTTTAGTGCAATTATTTAAATTTGGCAAAACACAAATGTGCCTGAAATGCTGTCTAAGTAGTCGTTTCATTAGGTTTTGGGACATAGCTGTTGTCCAATGACAGATACAAGTGGCATTAGTAGTCATAATGCGTCTTTCATCATCAACTTCTCTCTCTTTTGCTCTGAGTCATCTTCTGGTGGCTATAGAATGAGAAGGCCAAGTCTGCGTAACACTTTAGGACCCCATTAGAAAGAGAACCATTGTGTTTGCCTGTATGACAAAGCTGTGTCCCCAGCACCCTGGATGCTGTCCAGCGTTTGCTGAATGAATGGCCATACGTTAGCAGTGGAGCAGTATGTTAGAGAGTTTTTGTCCTGATGTACTCTAGGGGGATATGATAGAATGTACATTCTATAAAATATGAAATAATTGATTATTATCCAGACAACGTTAGATTAGATGTGTTAGAGTCCAGTACACCAATGGGATTGTTGAAATTTACATAATAATTTATGTAATAGCAGAATCCTCTCTAGATCTTACACTGCTAGCCAAAAGTTTGGAATAATTAAGATTTCTTTTAACAGGGTTTCCGTGGGGTCTTAAATTTAGTTGTATCAAATTTAAGGCCTTAAAAAGTCTTAATCTTAATTATGATTTCAAGAGGTCTTAAATTTGGGGACGGAAAGACCAGAATTGCGATATGGCTGAATGTGACGATTAAACTTCAAAAGGCTATGATTTCATTAAATAAACGAGCGCTGCGCGTTCAGCGTCCGGTGCTGTGCTGCTTTGTGTTCTGCCGTTACCGGGAAAACAGTTATATTTCTACCAAACGCTCCACCTGCTGGCAGAGAATGAATGAGCATTTTCAATAAAACTGTTGTTTTGTTCAGAGTTCAGACCAATGCGAAAATCAACCCATGTTTTTACCCTGCAAACACGCAGAGCTTTAAATGTGAACTGGTGGATCGATAAGAAGACAATGCATTATAAAAATCTAAACATAGGGGTGTGCGATAAGTAAGTAATCGACGATGTGCGATTTGATATTATGAGTATATTGCGAAAAGCAAACACAAAACACACCTACAGAGTGCACGCATACATTAGGTGATGAAGTCTAGTAGGTTAGACTAATGCGCACGCGCATTTAGAGCGCGTTCATTCACTGCATGAATCAGTCTTATTAAAAAGCATTAAGAATTATCACTTAATTTAAGATATGAAGCAGAAAATTTATATATTTAAATCATTTGATATAGTTAATATCACACTGAGAGTGCCGTTTTTTTCTCCAGAAGTAGGAGATATAATTTTTTGTCAGTATCGCACACCCCTAATTTATTATTTAATTGATATAATAATTTATTGATAATAATTGTTTAAATTAATATAATAACACTTTTGACTCATCCATTTTCTTAACAATGGTTTAAAGGCTGAAATGTGAAGTTTATCATTTTATAAAACTTTGTTTTTGTGAAAACTTGTATCTGAACTGTAAATTATGCTTTTTACAGTCATTTTACATTACAGCTTTCACAAAATATTAAGCAGCAAAAACTGTTTTCAAAATTGATAATAATTGGAAAAGTTTCTTGAGCAGCAAATCAGCATATTAGAATGATTTCTGAAGAATCATGTGACACTGAAGACTGGAGAAATGATGCTGAAAATTCATCTTTATATCACAGGAATAAATTACATTTTAAAATATGTTCAAATAGAAACGTATCAATTAAAAATTTTAAAATATTTCACAATATTTCTGTTTTTACTGTATTTTTGATCAAATGAATGCA